CTCGTGCCTCTTCTGACCTCCCATCTCTGAGCCTGACAAACATGTGGTTTTCCTTTGTGCATATGACCATATTTGTTTGTATCAACATGACAGTGATGGATGTAAACCTCACTTTATTAAAAATATCCAGCAYACAAAATGGGAATGGTGTGAACTTCACCATGTCATCCTTGTTTTGTTTTCCTCGTTGGTTTCAGCTGTAATGTCTGTCTGTCTATGGAGGTAGGGAAAGAACTTCACTTGAATGCATTAAATAGTCAGTGGATGGTTTTTCTTTTCCTAAGCTTGGCGGGGCTTCTGCCAGTCTGCRGTCCAGGGATCAGGCAGCGTCACCGTAGCAGGACTGGCCATCTTTGGATCCACGGAGGGCCGGCCGCCTCCTGGTGGTGAGAGTGCWGCTTCTCCTGGAAGCAAAAGGGTGCCTGCTGATAGCTGAAGCAGTGTTTGCTTTTTTTGCAGCATTTCTATTGCAAATMTCATGTGTTCAGTTTCAGAGGTGACTGCAAGGTATTGCTGGCATGGCAGGCTGGCAAAAGGTAAGATGGAGTGAGGGAACCAGCTGACCTCGCGCAYGGAAGCCTGGTGCCCCAGTTCCTACACCAGGCAGCTGCCTCCCCTTGTCTACCAGATGGTGAAGAACCTACGGGACTGGGCAGTGTGGTTGTTGTTGGTGGTGGAGAGACCCTCAGCCAGTCCCCAATCGCCGGGCTTATAGACCTAGGCCTGGGAAGGTGCCTGCTTCTGCAGTAGTCCCCGTGGCTCATCCATTGTTTTTCAGAAATTTCTGGCTAAGTTTCATCATGTGTATGTGTTTTTTGAAGAGTAGATATAAGTAATTGACTGGAAGCAGTTTTCCAAACATTTGGTAATTTTGTTTACAAAATATCTATATAATAAAAAATATAAATTCCAGTTATCTAAACTCTGTAGTGTTTTGTGGATCTGCCTCCAGTCAAACCCTGACCCCTCTACCCTGAGGGGTCAGGGTATTTGGTTTTCAACTTAGTTGACAGGTTCTCGTAAGGCTAGGGTGCATGCTCTAATACACAAGTATCGAGGTGGGGGCCCAAGACCAGGGAGCTTGCTGCAGAAGCCTTGGGAAGCAGCCCTCCTGCAGGGTTTTACACCCTCAGCCTTGGAGACCCTTTGCCTTGGAAGTGCATTAGATTTTTAAAGATTGAAAAGTAAAGCACTGATTTTAAGTATGAGCACCAGTGCACGGCTGCAATCCAGCCACTCCACAGACTGAGGGCTGGGGTGTGCTCTGTGGTGTGCACCAGGGATGAGGAGAACAAGAGAGCCTTCCACAGTGTACTGTGCCACACGTCTGCCCAGGTTCTCAGTAGAGGCAAGAAGGGCAGGGCTGAGGCAAGTGGTGTCTGTGAGCTTGAGTGTGGCCCCTGAAGGCACTGCAAAGCCTGCAGGGTCAGCCGTGGGGAGCACTTGCCTGCAGATGGAACTGCACTGCGCAGTCCTCTGTTGAGGTTCAGCCTGGCCACTCCCACGGAGCCCCGCTGCTGCTGAGGGCCCTGCTCCCCTGCAGGTGACCATTTCTGGCCCATACACTTCATCCTGTGCTGCCCAGTAGGCAGTAAGCCCCACTACTCCATCTGCCCTCCATGCCTCCCGAGTGAGCTTCTGCTGACCAGCCAGGCCCACCTCTTGCTGATGATGTCAATGCCTGAGCAAGAGAATGGAGAACCTGATGGGGGGTGGGGGCGCTGGAAAGCTCAGAGGAAGCCCTAAGAATGAGGTGCTCAGAGCAGACCCTTAGCACGGCTGCATGGGGGGTTGCTGCCTCTGTGGGCTGTACCTCGTCTTTTTTGTAAAAATCCCCCAGATGTGTAAATGGCAGCTTGCAGCAGCCTTGGGGCTAGACGCCGTGTTCCTGTAGTCAGAATCTGGTTGKACCTGCTGACTTGCTGCTCTGCAGTCAGCAGGGCTGTGGGGGACCCACAGGTGAAGCCCAGAGTGAGCTGAAGATGCCACTGCAGCTGGACTCAGGGCAGAAACTGGGATGGGACTGAAACATGGGTATCTTGCTGCCTCCATAAGTGGCTTCATGTGCTCTTGGCACCTGGCAGCTCAAGAAAGCTGCCATCCTGCCTGTGTTAAGCTGGGGGACAGGCAGGGCCCAGGCTCCAGGGGAGCAGATGGCCCTGGGCACTGGGTGCCCTGAACTGGAGCAGGCCTGATTCTTGGGAGGCTCTGCCAAGCCCTCACCTCTCCTTCTAGCTCAGGCTGTTGGCCTGGCCCCACTGGGTCAAGGCACCAAGTAGGACACACAGCGGGAGCATGGGCCCATGGAGGTACCAGGTGCATGATCTGGTACCCTAACACACTCAGCCCGTGTGGTGCCCGTCACCTCCTCTCCAGCCAGGGTGAACAAGGCTGGGGTATGGTGCACTGCCCAAAGCCCAGCCCCTGGTGAGGAATGAGCGGGGAAGGAGCTTTCCCTCTGGGCCAGCCTGCTGTTGCTGTGGGAAGCTGTTCAGGGTGGTGTGGGAGGGGCATGAGCAGCTGGAGGAAGGGTCAGGTGAGGGCTGGGGACTGGCTGGGGTCCACTGGCACCCAGCACCCAGGGTGTCTGAATGTCTGAGGACCCTTGCTTGCCCCGCCCCCACATTCCTGTGGTGCAGCTTCCTAGGGAAGCACCTGGCCTTTCTGTGCTCTTCCCGAGGGCCACAGGGTCACAGCTCCTGCCAACACCTGGCAGGGGTCCCCTTAGACACAGCCTACAGTTCCCTGTACTCCACTGGAAGGACCCAGAAGACGGGCTGTACTTCAGAGTAACTGAGGCACGCTGTGCCCACTGAAAGCCCCTTGTTCACACTTCACATACTTCACGTAGCAGCAGAGGGGCTGTATCAGGCCCTTGAGCCTGTTGCCTAGGTTGGCCAGTTGTAAATACTGTTTGTCTTTTGTTTTTCTGAAATGTGTATATATTTATTTTGGCAGTGCTGCCCAGGGCCTCACACATGTGAGGCAAGTGCTGTGCCTTTGAGCTACTTTCCCAGCCCCCTGAAATAATTTTTAAGCTAATCCGAGCTATAGAGGCCATTTTCACCTTAAAAATCCGGTTAGCCTTAGAAAATAGAGCATGTTTATACATTGACAGTTCCATAATCAGGAAATAATTCCTGAATATTCTCTAATACTCAGCTCATGTTCAGACATCTCTGCCCTAAATTCACTCCCCTGTACCACAAAAAACAAAAACAAAACAGTTAAAAAGGACATTTGGGACAGTGTTTTTTTTTTGTTTTTTGTTTTTTTTTTGGTACTGGGAAATTAACCCAAGGGTGCTGTATCACTGAGCTATACCTCCTACTTAAAATTTTGAGTCAGGACCTTGCTAAGTTGCTGAGGCTAGCCCAGGCCATCCTCTGCCTCAGCCTCCCAAGTCAATGGGATGATGTCAGGCTACCTTTTCAATTTTTAAGAACAGGTTTCAGGGTTGGGGTTGTAGCTCAGTGGTAGAGCGCTTGCCTAGCAAGCATGAGACACTGGGTTCGATCCTTAGCACCACATAAAAATAAAYAAAATAAAGGTATCATGTCCATCTACGACTTTTATATGTATAAATTATAAAATGAACAGGTCCCATGCAGTGGAGTTACCCGAATCGCACCCCCTGGGTGATGGTTTATTGGAAAGACTGGTCACACAAGCAGGGTGTGGCCCTCCTTGCCTCACAGCCCCCTCATGGGCCAATGTGCTGCTGCTGTAGGCAGACAGCCCAGGACCCGGCATATCCCCATGCTGTGTGTCCCTGTTCATTACTGGTTCTTCCAGTTAATCTTTTAAATGGGAAAATTTGTATCTACAAAGGTATGTGCTGTTTTCTGCATGATGGCTCAGGCCCGTTAGCAGCGTGTCACCTCAAGAGTCATCCTGCTTTGTAGTGGGAACACTTACAATCCAAGAACGTAACTGCTTGTGCRGTGGGTCTCCCGAGGGCTCATCTGGTGGGAGACGGCACCCTTGCCCCTGTAGCCGCATGCCCTTGGCTCCTGTGAGGGTGGCTTCTCTGGTCCACCTGTGCCTGGGGTGTGTCACCCAATGGCGTGCCGAGGGCTACCCCAGGTGGCAGGTTCCACCTGGCTGGTGGATAGCAGTACTCCCTCATGCATGTGTACCACCTGCCTTTACCACTTGTTTGTGGGGGCCATGCGGCCCATTCCTCCCCTCTATTGGGGAGTAGGCCACAAGGAAGTGGGCCTGCAGATGCCTTCCACAGCCGGAACTGGCCATCCCCGGTAAGTGCCCAGTAGCGGGGCTGGGATCACACAGGCTATGTCTTGGGGGCACCTCCATGCCGCTCTCCATGAAGGCTGCACTGCAC